CTCCCCTTATCAGCATTATTCCGGGCCTGTGCTTCTCCTGCAGGAAAGAGGTGGCTTGCTGAGGAGGGTCCTGTGCACAGAGACCAGGCAGGCTGCAGGTCAACTGCTCCTTGGAAAAGAAAGCCTGTGGGGGTCAGCATATTGGGCCCATTTGATAGATTTATTGGGTTATTTTGGGGGGGGGGTACCAGGGATGGAATTCAGGGGCACTCGACCACTGAGCCATCACGTCCGCAGCCCTGTTTTGTATTTTATTAGAGACAGGGTCTCACTGAGTTGCTGAGTGCCTCTCTTTGGCTGAGGCTGGCTTTGAGCTCACGATTCTCCTGCCTCCATCTCCCAAGCCACAGGGACTACAGGCGTGGCCACTGGGCCTGGCTCGATGGTCTTATGATACACAACGTTCAGCTCTGATGGTGTGACAGATGTCCTCATGAGCTGTAGTGAAGACGTCTAACACCATTGGACTCTGGCATCTCCTCTGTGTTGAGTAGAGATCCCTTTATCTGTGTCTGTGAGGGCTTTTTGGTAAAGTCAGTTAGGACTTTTGGGTGCCACAGTACGTTTTTTGGCCTAATCAAAGGGATGAATATTGGGGCTAGATAATCACACTTGCAGACACAGATTGCCTATGTAGAAGTTTAGGAAGATTCACAGGTTTCAAATTGACTCAGAAAAAAAGCTGTGATCTGAGAGTCGAATGTTGCAGACACTCCTGTGGGACCTTCCTGTACGGCTTCCAGCTTTGTGACTTCTGGTGGGAGTTCTTCCACTATTTCGGGAGCGATAAATGAAGAAGAGGGATGGGGGTCAGGACCTGGATCTCGGGGGCCTATGGAGCAGGGAGTCGTCGAGAATCAACTGCAGAGCAGAACAAGGTTGGCGAAAGTGGAAGAAAGCTTGGAGATAAGGTCGTCTGCCATTTCGTTGGAGGAAATTGTCTAAGTCTTGGAGGAATTTTTTGGTCAAAGTTCCCAATTCCCAATTCAGGCCATTGACGAGGTTGATTTAGATGTGGTCAGATCTATGTACACGGCCTAATAAGGCATTTGCTTTTGAGTTCAGATTGGAGGTGGAGGATTTTGAAATTTTTAAAAATATTTTTAATGTATTTATTTTTATGTGGTGCTGAGGATTGAACCTCACATGTTCAAGGCCAGTGCTCTACCACGGAGCTACGACTCCAGCCCCAATTTTGAAATTTTTAATGAGACAACCTAGGAGGGAGTCCTGTGGGATGGGCTGTAGCCCCTAAGGTGCAGAGGTTTGACCAGGGTGGCGGCTGAGATCTGTTGCAGTAATTCACTTGCAGGTCAGCATGGGAAAAGAAAGAAAAAGAAGAAGCAGAGCAAGCGAAGCAGCAGCAGAAAAAAAAGTCCTTTATTGTGTACAAGCAATCTTTTTATAGTATTGTGAACAAAGACGGCAGCCTTCCAACATCAATAAATCAGTTCTTTCAGCTAATTAAACATAGCACACAGAAGTTTTACTTTCTAATCAGAAGTGACCTGCTTCTCATGGCTAATCTATTCTTGGCTAGGAGTATGTTGAGCTCTGCTCTTTGTTTAGAACAGATAATAAAATTTTTCTCAGCGCCCTCCTAGCCCACTTGGCAGAACATCCTGTTTGCAGGCAAGTCCTCCCAAGGACAGCAGACACCTCGTTTTCAAGCATGTCCGCTGTTACCTATCTATACCTTGACAGAATATCCCGTTTGCAGGCAGACTCCACCAAGGACAGTAATAGTAACACAGTCACATCTGATTCTCTACATCTCCCTCCTTTTGTTTTTGTAAATGAGCCTTAGCAGAAGCGATAAGAGAGGTTTCATGTTTCAGTTGCCTTTGCTTTTTCCAGCATTGGATGACTATATACAAAACAAAACACAAGACAAAAATTATTACAGTGTTACCTAAAGAAGTTGACAACAAGGTAGAGAAATGACTTAAAGCATTTAAATTAGCAATACTTGAAGACAATTTTTGTAAAATGTCAGATCCTGTTAGTTCAGGTAATGTCTTACTAAAGGTGTCCATTTAACCGTCTTTTAACAGTTTCCCAGGAATCACTGGTATTATATGGCACAGGAGTCACACAAATATGAGAAGAATTCCAGTCACACTTCAGAACACTTCTAGTAGCCAAGATAGTCACTTGATCGCCAAGCCAGGAAACAGTATGTTGTAAATTGATCACTTCTGTAGCCAATTGAGAGTCTAAGTCCTTTTGTTGTTGCCATATTAAATGAGCATCTTGATGTCATGTTTTCATGAAATTCGCAGTTTGAATGTCTTGATGCAAAGCAACACTAGCTATCGCAGCAGTGGCAGTTACAGAAGCAACAGCAAGGAATGAAGCTATAACTATTCCTATTAATCGTAGAGAGCGATATAACAAAAGTTGAACAGCATTGTACAAATGAGTAACAGACAATGAATCAGAGAAAGGATGAGTCAAATTAACAGGCACCCACAATTCTGTGCGAGCTTTAACAATAACTAAAGAATAATTATTAATTTCTATTAATTCCCAATTAGTTCTATTTACACATTGAGTAAGATAACAGTCTATACATGATATTGTTCCCCAAGTTACATTCCATTCCCAGTTTCCAATCATAAGAGAATAAGGGAATTTAACACATGCAGAAGCAAAATAAGTCAGATTATTATGTAGCTGTACTTCAAAAGGAGAGGAACGGGATACATCTAACGTGAAATTTCCAGTCCATACAGTGAGTTTCCCAGATACTGCCCATAATTTCCATATATCCCCTTGAATATTGGAAAAGCTTATATCCTGTAATATTGGAGAGACCAAAGCATAATGTTGCATTTTAATTGTCTCATTACCCCAAGCATTTATTGTCCCATTATGTCGATGCCATCTTAAAGTACAATTTGACCAACTTTCTATAAATTCAGAATGATCAGGACTCCACCCAACTATAGTGATATTTTGATATTTGACTACTGTTTTAGGGTGATGATCATGACATTTTTCCCACTTTAAATGAGTTAAAAATGTTTCAAAATATTTAGCTGAACATAAAGGAAGATGAGTTCTGACAAAACATTCTTCCGATGATAGTCATGATTGATTAACATACATACTAGAGGTATTAAATCCTCGGGAAGATATCATGACAGTAAAAACAGCAGTAGAATAACTACGATAATTAACTCCCCAAGTATTATAAGAAAGAGAGTCGTTATGTGCTATAAGAGGCAAACAGAAAGAACGAGCCCCTATACACAATGGGACTCCGTCAACAGCTACAGTTATATTAGAAATATTATACGGATTTTTATGGAATGGAATATCTTCAATTCCCCCACATACAGGAGGGGGGAAAATTAATATTATTAGTACACACACGAACTTCAGGTTCTCCCCAGGAAACACTGCACACCAAAGGAGGGTTAGGAACATAGGCCCAATAAGCAAAGAATGAGCATCAACTATACTTACCTGGCAATTAATAACTGCAAGCATAGCTAATGAAAGATTAACAGGATCTAAAGGCTGATTTGCCTTTTGGAGGGTTGGGGGTCCGCTGTTCTCGTTGCCATCGTAGAAGTTCTCTGCATTGCCAGCTCCTGAAATTGTCTGACAAATGGGTCCCTCATTCTGCAATTTGATAAGTCTTGAAGGTACCTAGAAAGGTGTTTTACCTGTAGAAATAAGAGCAAATCCCCTTCCCATGTGGTGCAACAACCCAGAAATCCATTCTTAATTTTCATCCCTGTTCCACATAGGTATTTCCAATTTTAGAAATAATGGCTGAGATTTAAATGTAGAGAGATGTTGCTGGGCTTCAGGAACCTCAGAAGCTGACCAGACTTTTAAAAAATTTAAAGTTAGTAAAGTTTTATGAAGTATAATTTGAGGTGTATAAACCATAGCCATATCCCCCCTTTTTATTTTAGTATATATTCTCTAAACGTACCATTTGCCCTTTCTATAATAGCTTGACCCTGACTATTACAAGGTTTGCCAAATGTATGTGTAATGTCATACTTTGGTAAAAATGAATGTAATTTTTGTGAGGTGTATGAAGGTGCATTATCAGTTTAAGTTCTCTAGGAATTCCCATGATAGCAAAATAAGATAATAAATGAGAAATGATTGCATCAGTTTTTTTTTTAAGATAAACTGTGGCCCATAGAAAATGAGTATGAGTGTCAACAGTCTGATGTACATATCTTAGTTGTCCAAATGACTGAATTATTACAACATCCATTTGTAAAGGGCATTAGGATGGGGTCCCCTTGGATTAACACCAGGAAGACAGTGAGGAATATTAAAAGGAGCACATGATGTATTTTTTATAAAGTCCTTTAGTGTTTGTATGATGTAAAGCATGTTCTAGATGAGCCTTTTGTAAGGGGAATTATAGTTCATCAATATTTTGATTTTTTCTAGTTAATGGTCCTGGCAGTGTAGAATGTGCTCTAATATGAGTAAAATATACTGAAATTTGGCCTACTATTTTTGTTGTTATTTTTACATGTAGTCAGATAGGACATAGAGTCCTATCTTAGGTAAATAGGGCTCTTTATAAATTTAAGTAAAGTGTTGTAGTTTTAAAGTTTATTATTTTTTTTAAATATTATATTATAAATTTTATATAAATAATTGTTTAAGTTTATTTGAGTAAAAACTAACCCAATATAACACATCTAAAACATGAAATAAAGAAAGGCTGAAAGCTTTTAGCTTTTTTTTAGAAAAATAGAAAAATGTTCTTGTGTTTTATAATATTAACCTTTATGTAGATAAGGCTCTCATTAACTTAAAAAATACATTTAAATTGTACCTCAGTGTAAAAAGTAACATAAAACTTCATATATCTTATTGATAATAGGCCCAGTTATAGAACATTAAATGATATAAATAA